CTGATGGCCGCCGGGCTAACCCCAAGGTAGAGGTAGAGGGTCTCCCCTACCTTGGGTTTGGAGAGCACAGGAGGTGAAGATAGATACCTTTTGAGCTCGTCGAAAGCCCCCTGGCATTCTGGAGTCCATAGAAAGCCAGCCGTCTTCCTCATGGTTTGGAAGAAGGGTAGAGACTTCTCCGCCGATTTAGATAGAAAACGGTTGAGGGCTGCCAGGCGGCCCGTCAACCGTTGAACTTCCTTCACATTGCGTGGGGGCTCCATGTTGATGATGGCCTGGATTTTCTCGGGATTGGCCTCAATGCCCCTTCGGCTCACCATGTAACCCAAGAACTTGCCCCCTTGGACGCCGAAGGTGCACTTCTTCGGGTTTAGCCGAAGGTTGAATTTTTGCATGATGGCGAAGATTTCCCGGAGGTCGTCAGCATGGCTGGAAGATTGTTTGCTCTTGACGATCATGTCGTCAACATAGGCCTCCATGGTGCGCCCTAGGACGGCTTGAAAGACCCGGGCCACCATCCGGGTGTAAGTGGCCCCAGAGTTCTTTAGGCCGAAGGCCATCACTAGGTAGCAGAAGATGCCCTCGGGAGTCATGAAGGCAGTTTTTTCGGCGTCCTCCTCGTGCATAAAAATTTGATGGTACCCTCGGAAGGCATCGAGGAAGGACATGATCTCACACCCCGCGGTCTCATCCACCAATTGATCAATGTTTGGTAGAGGGAATGGATCCAAAGGGCATGCTTTGTTGAGATCGATGTAGTCCACGCACATGCGGAAGGTAGGGGGCTTCTGTGCGAGGACTACATTCGCCAGCCATGAGGGATATTTCACCTCCTTGATGTGCTTAATGGAGAAGAGCATGGCGACCTCCTTCTTCACAAATTCCCTTCTCTCGGCGGAGAGGGGTCTTCTTCGTTGTTGCACTGCCTTTGCCGAGGGGTCCACCGAGAGGCGGTGGGTGATGACCCTTCGGCTGATTCCCGGCATGTCCTCCGGCCCCCATGCAAAGACAGTGGAGTAGGCGCGGAGGGCGTCGGTGATACCGGTCTTCAAATCTTCAGGGAGCTGGGCTCCAATCTTCACGACTCTCTCCGGCTGGGCCGGATGGAGCGCAAAGTCTTCTACGTCCTCGGTGATGGTTCAGCCCTCGGCCTTCTTTCCTCTTGGTCGACGGATCCGGTGATGGTGTCAACACGGAATTCCGTTTTGCTTACCTTCTTAGTGACCTGAAGATAGCAGGCGCGGGCAATTTTCTGGTTCCCCCGGGAGTAGCCAATGCCCCCCTCGGCGGGAAACTTGAGGCAGAGATGCCTCATGGAGATGATGGCTTCGAGATCCTCGAGGGCTGGCCGGCCGAGGATGATGTTGTGGGCGCAGTCAATGTTGACGACGACGAACTCCACCTCGAGCTGGGCTCTATGGAGCCCGTCGCCGAAGATCACCGGGAGGGTTATTACCCCCTCAGAATCAATAGTGTCGCCGGTGAAGCCGGCAAGAGGGGTCTTAATTGGCCGAAAGGACCCTCTCTCCAGATGCAGCTCTCTGAAGGTGCTGAGGTACATTACATTGACGGAGCTGCCCGTGTCAACGTAAGTTCGGTGAATGATGGTGTCGTTTATTTCCGTCCGAATCACCAAGGCATCCCTGTGAGGAGAAGAAGTAGGAGGGAGATCTGCGTTGGTAAAGGTGATGGGTTCCTCCCTCAGTCGCTTTACCGGGGGCATATGAGTGACTTCCCCCACGTAAAGCGATTGAGCCCACTTCTTTCGTTGGCTGGTGGAATCGCCCCCTGTATTGCCACCGGTGATCATGAGGATGTGGCGTTTCTTCTCCTGGTAGTGGGGGTACTCCTCCTCCTCTTCTTCCAAGTTTCCGATCTCCCTCTTCTTGCCGAGGGGGATGGTGTTCGGATTTATCCAGGCATTTACCTTCGTATGGTGCCCTCGAGGAGGTCCCTGATGAGAAGGGCCCTCCTGCCGAGGGCTCTGGACGAATTGGGACAGGTGCCCTGCTTGTATTAACCTTTCGATGGCCGTCTTTAGCTGATGGCAGTCATCGGTCCTGTGCCCCTGGTGCCGATGGAAGCGACAGTAGGGGAACTGAGGGTTGATAGCGTGTACCTCCGGGGGTGCGCGAGAGTCGCGCTCAACGAGGCCCCTCTCCTCGGCAAAATCGAGGATGATGCTGACGGGGTGCGTCAATGGTGTCCGAGGGCGGTCCAGGAGAATGGGCTGGGCCCAAGTCTTAGGGTTGCTCTTATAACCTCCCCCGGGCTTGGCTTGGCCTTGCCGAGGGCGGTCATCAGAGGGTCCCGAAGATTTGGGGTGATTTGGAGGAGCCCCCGGCCCTCGGTTATGCTTGTTGTCAGCCCTCGGGGGCTGCTGGTCCGGATGCTGGTGATACTTCTCCACCTCCTCGGGCTCAACATATCGGCCCCCCCGCTGCAAAGCCCTTATGTAGTCGCGGGGGGGTTCAATGATGAGGCTCCTTGAAAAGTTACCGGTGCGGAGGACGGTTTGTAGGAGGGCCAGGAGGGTCCCGTCATCAGCACCGTCGACCTTGTCGGCCTCCGTTCCTAGCGCTCCAGGAAATCCCGAAGGGTCTCATCCTTCTTCTGGCGTATTGTTAGGAGGTGGGAGAAGTGCTTCCTTGTGCGACGCCTCCCGGCGAATTGTGTCAAGAATCGTTGGGCGAGTTCTTGCCACGAATCAATTCAGCCCTCGGGCAGCCTGTTGAACCATTCGTATGCCGGTCCCTCTAAGGTGGAGAGGAACCATCGACACAAATATTCGTCTGACACCCCCACCATCATCATGCTGTTCTGGTATTTGCTGTAGTGTTCCTGGGGGTCCGTTTTCCCGTTGTAGGGCTGTATGTGTTGCCCTCGGTATTTTTCCGGGATCCGGGCCGCCAATACCCTTGGGGTAAATGGCGTCCGAGTCCGGAGCTGGATGACGGGTTCCCCGGAGCCCTCGGCCACCCTCTTCTGTAACTCCTCCATTTTGGCCATCATGGCCTCGTATTTGAGATCTGAATGAGGGGTGGAGGTGGTGGCGTGAGCTTTGTTGGACTCCATCTCGTCAAGCCGGCGTTGGAGGGCCGCAATAATCTCGTCCCGGGGATCCTTCGGGAGGGTCTCCGCCCCCTGCGAACGAACCCGGGCCGAATGGGCCTGGTTGATTTGGTGCCGAGCATCATCGGCATGAAGGGGTGCCTTGCCTTTGTCCCGAGGGGGACGCTCCTCGTCTGCCCTCGAAACAGATCCCCCGCTTTCCTGGGGCCTTTGGAGTGCTTTCCCCCGAGGCGGTCTTGGACCCCTCGGCGGTCTGGCCCTCCTCCGAGCCGGTTGAGGGCGGAAGTACGGGGCCTTTCCCTGTTGTCATTATGGCGGTCCCGGGACTGAACTTCCTGGGAGGACGTATCTTGGGCAACCACCCCTTCATCATTTCTCACCCGAGGGGTGGGATTTCCGAAGGGGTGTGGCAGAGGGGGAAGTATGATATTTTCCCCGATCTGAGGGTGAGCTGGAGCCAGGGTGCCGAAGGCACCCGGGTTCTGGGTGAGCGTCTGGATGAAGGCGGAGAGCGCCGATTGCACGTCGATGGGGAGGACCGGAGGGCTGACTTGGTCATCGCTCCGGTTTTTCTTCTTGGCCTCGATGCCGAGGCGAGCATCGGGGGCATTTTGTTGGATCTGAAGGCGTAGGTTGACAGCCGCCTGTTCCAGCCCAGCGATGACACCGCCCTCGGGAGCCCTGTGAGAGGCTTCGGGGGCGTCGACGTCGCCGAGGGCCAGGTTCTTGTCTTCTACGTTCTTTGAGTTGGCACGTGTCGTCCTCACCATTTTGATAGAGGGCTAGTGTTTTGTGTTTGGTCGAGGGGGAGGGTTTCTTACTCGATTTGTTCAACCTCTCAACGAGAGCACCAAATGATGGATAGTCTACCCGGGGGTATATATCCGAGGGGTTATTACGGGGAATAACTTAGAGAGAAGTCAAAGCAAGTAAGTAAAAGTAGAGAGAGAGAGTGTATTCAGTATGAATGCCGTTTTCAGCGTGGTTACAAATGGGGAAATGGGGTGCTATTTATAGTAGCAATAAATGCCGGGCAGGGACACGTGTCAAGCGCTCATTGGCCGAGGGGTCACCTCAACTGGTTGGCGCTGGCAGCCGCATGTGGCCGCATTTAATGCGGCTGTTGGATGGGACGTCTATGCGGGGTACGGTGATCTGTACGCATGTGAGGCGGATATCTTGTCGAGTGAGATGCCTTCGGCTATAGAGCAGTAGCCGAGGGCTCTTCCACCCGATGGTACCCTGGTGCCGAGGGCTCATAGTGCCGAGGGCTACTGTTTTCGCCGTTTTCTCCCAGTTTCTTAATTTGCTTGACAAACCCGTTCTGTGAGAATTTAGAGCCTTCGGCCAGGGGGCACCCCTGGCGCGTAGTGCGGGCTGCTTGGTACTCTGGGCGCTGTGATTTGGGCCTATTGGGCCTTTTGGGCCTGTTGGGCCTTTGCTGGAGTATTAGGAGTTTGTGGGCTGGGGGTTCCCGGGCCATATACTCCATCATGAATCATTTTTAATGAGCTCAGATTGTACACTTGGAATAATGTAATCTTCCAATTATTCCAAGTAAAGAAACAACAAAAAACATCACAAACAACGTGAGAGGCTTCTGCATGCATCCTACGCTATTGTAGAAATAATTTTTTCTTACAAGTTTAGTGCACATAAAAAATGTTAAAATTGAGAGATGATAAAATCAATCAAGTGCAACTTAAAAGTAATCGAAAATTATAAAGGGAGATCTTTATTAATAAGATTCCAAATATTTACAACTTGATTAAAAAGCTAAAATATTGTGCATGGAGTGTGAAAAGAGTATTCTTCTTTCACCCCTTCATCTCGAAGGTGTGAAGCAATGTATCTAAAAAAATAGCATGATGAGGAATACAAATTTTACATAGAAATAAGAGTTAATAAAACCCGAGGCAGAAATCAGAGAGAAATGTTTATCCTACTATTTATTACAAAACTTGCAACAACAACAAAAATTAAACCCTCATAAATAGATTTAAGGATAAGGTGATATTAACATTATTACTATCAAACGACGATGATCTAGCTGTAGTGAAGAAGAAATAATATCCATTAGTTGTCATGGATATCCTGTAGTGAACCAAATATTCACCTATTCAACTTAAACAATTCTCATAATCCATAAAGTTTACAATCAATTCTTTGGAAGTGGCCAGGTGGTACGCACTCTGTAATAAGGACTTGAGATACTCAGAGGAGTCAGAGATCTTTAAAAAAACTGAACATATAAGGAAATTAATAGGATAATAAAAATGAAGTTAAAAAATGAAATTAATAGGATAAGAAAAATGAAGTTAAAATAAAGATTGCACAGATCTGCTCTAGAACACTACTTGACGAGTTGAAGTCAGGAGAATTGAAAAAGAAGAAGGTACCTCTAAATGAGTGGAAACTAAAATTTCATAATTTTATATACATAAAACACAAAGAAAGCCAAAAATTTGCAAATATATTGTAAGACGGATTGTTAAGAAAAAATTCATATGTAATGGAATAATATTTGAAATGTATGTTTCGGTTATTGTATTTGATTGTTTTGTAACAATGACTTGCCCAAATAAACCTTCTTCTCTATTTTTTCGTACTCACTTTCTTAATTGGAGTTTTTACGCTTATCGGGACAGGTGTAAATCCTAGCATACTTGGAGAGTTGGAGTGTTTATTTGTCATGTATCCCATTTCACTCAACATTTCAGAAAGAAGGAAAATCAAGCTAAATCATTAGACAAAATCAATCTAAACAGGATGAATTATATATTACTCCCCAAAGAAACAACACCAAGTATTTAGACAAAATACTGCTTAATCATTTAGCATGCCAAAATAATGGATTTGATTTACTATTACAATGTCATTTAAATAACGAAAGAAAGATCACCTCAACCTTCTTTTCAGTTAGATGTGAAAATCAGTTTTGGTAATGTAAGTCCAGTTCATCACTAATTGCCATTACTATTGTCTTTTAGCATAACCCAAGAAGAGAAGAAACTGATTAAAAAGAAGAAGCATTCAGAGTAATCTTAAACCATTATGCCAACACATTCTATAATGTTTATACTATGAAGTGGTTTACTGAAAGACAATCCTTTTATAGTTATCGGTCTAAATCCTGACACGGATAATCACAAAACCTTAGGTTATCTTGAAAATGTTATTATCATAGGAGCTTAATAATGAAATTTGCTAATTCATTATGCATAAGACTCCTGATTTTGAAATGCTTGGAACTATCCTAGGTTATCTTGAATACTATTTTATTTTAGCATTTTAAATTTTATCCCCAAAGTGTGAAAATGTTGTACCTGTGAAGTTGGTTGTATGCATGCACACATAAATAATAGCAGAGTATTTCCACGATAGTTGACATCCCTGTAAACATTTGAGAAAAGGTGTTGAGTTCATTTTTGCAATGATGTTATGATATCGATTAACAAATCAATTAGATGTGAAAATCAGTTTTGGTAATGTAAGTCCAGTTCATCACTAATTGCTATTACTATTGTCTTTTAGCATAACCCAAGAAGAGAAGAAACTGATTAAAAAGAAGAAGCATTCAGAGTAATCTTAAACCATTATGCCAACACATTCTATAATGTTTATACTATGAAGTGGTTTACCGAAAGACAATCCTTTTATAGTTATCGGTCTAAATCCTGACCCGGATAATCACAAAACCTTAGGTTATCTTGAAAATGTTATTATCATAGGAGCTTGATAATGAAATTTGCTAATTCATTATGCATAAGACTCCTGATTTTGAAAGGCTTGGATTTATCCTAGATTATCTTGAAAACTATTTTATTTTAGCATTTTAATTTTAATCCCCAAAGTGTGAAAATGTTGTACCTGTGAAGTTGGTTGTATGCATGCACACATAAATAATAGCAGAGTATTTCCACGATAGTTGACATCCCTGTAAACATTTGAGAAAAGGTGTTGAGTTCATTTTTGCAATGATGTTATGATATCGATTAACAAACCAATCCAAAAGCATATAACATCGCTTTAATTTCTGCATGTACAAGAACTCACCGCAATAGGATAGCAAATAACCACCATGAATCACTAATACAGACTGCCTTCACATTATGTTTTGGATACGCTGCTTTCGGTCCAATCTATTTAACCATCTTAATTCTTGGCTTCGTGTTTCAAAGATAGGTGAAAGAAACCCTGCAATTTTGGCCTTCGTGTTTGAAAGATAGGAGACCGAAACCCTGCAATCTTATGCGAAAAGAGACTTAAGAACCCAAATAACATGCATGGAATGAAAAGTTTATTGATATATTTTTTTCTCCTTTCAGAATGAAAAGTTTATCGATCTACATTTTATAATCCATTTTGCTCCTTTTATAATGAAGAGTTTATCGATCTACTAAACCAATGATATTGATGAAATCCAGTGATCTAAGTGCAACTAACGGATTAAGGTGGTTTGTTATATCAAATTAGATGATGTAACTATAACAGAAATCAATTAGTCCAATATCCGTTTTGGTTATATAATTCCAGTTCATCCGTAATTGCCATAACTGTGGTGTTATGTATTATCATGTGGTTTTCTGAATTAAAGTATAATTTTATTTATAAGTAACGATTTACTGAAAAGGCATGGTGGCATGTTATGATTCATTGGGTACGTGTCTAAACAATAACACAATTATGTCTTTTAACTGCAAACCTACTATTTTCAGCAACGTATTGAAAAGTACCGATTTAGATGTAAAATAAGTGCATGTGGAATGAAGCATGTACTCAAAAAATGAGTAGCTGTGTTGAGTCTTGACTCTAACATGGAGAAGAAGCGCAAAAAAATCAGAAAAGGAAAGAGAAGAAGCTAGGCAGCGTGTTTCTTGAGCACATTAGGTAGATTTAGACTCATAGAGAACGAAATAGCATTAGAAGAACAGCAAGATACGCAAAGACGCTGAATGACAACACCAAGGCTTTTAAACAATTGACTGTGAGAAGTTACATAAATGCCCAAAGAGTATGGGGGACAGACTTAAGTGGGTTAATTAAGTATAGATAGATAGATAAATAGATTACATCAATAAGAGTAGGAATCGAAGTATTCTTGTTTAGTGCTGAGTAAACCACTAGAAAAAGGAAAACTAAAAATTGTCAATAGTTCTTCTATTAGAAACAAATGAGTTATACTTTCAGAAAAATAATGACAGTTGTATGTATAAAAGTTTTTGTTCTTTTTTTGACAGAAAGTACTCTCTTCTTAAATCCAATACAACACTACAAAAAGGAAAGCTAAAAGTTGTCAATAGTTCTTCAATTAGAAACAAATGAGTCATACTTTCAGAAAAAGTAATGATGTGACAGTCCTACCTATAACATTTTCTCTTCTTTTTTGACCGAAAGTACTCTCTCCTCACACACCCAAGACCCGCTTAGGCGGCACGTAGCTAAAATGGCTAAAATGGGAATTGACACTTTTGCGTTTATCTATAGATACTATTTTCTTTAATATTTTAAAACATATACTCCAAGACTGCATAGCCATATGTATGTATCACTCTCACGGAAACATGGCTCTTTCATTCAACCGACCATCCTTCACCAACCCAAAATCAGAACAGTTTTGCATTGTAATCATATCGTTTCACAACAGAATGCTTTTTCGTTTGGAGAATCATCACAAGAAATATTGGAATTTGAAAGTCAATGTGTGGCATGTATTAACAAGGTTGGTATTCACATTAATTAATGGTATAGAAACATTAACAAGGTTGGTATTCACAGATGTCAGAGAAGTATATATGGGAGGGTCTACCTTTTGACATAGTCCAACAGGAAATGTTCCAGGGACCAGGATTTATTTGAATTTTTAGTTATTTATTAAGATTTAAATTATAATCAATCTAAACTTACCGCGTGGTATATCTTTTTTGGCAGACTCCTGTGCTTTTGCTGCCCTGACTAGGCATCTCGAGTATAGTCTACGGATCACTTATGCACAAGCTGACCCCCCCCACAAAGCTACGCGACAGTTCACTCTTCAGTAGGGATTTTGAACTATATTTGAAGAACTATCATCCACAACGACGTCAACATTGGAAGATGTGGGATTTATTACGTGAAGTGCTAGACGAAGATAGCCAAAACGAGGCTGCAGCAGACAGATGTGGGATTTCCCTGTGGAATGGATTGCCGCTGTATATCGAGGACAGAGTTTGGCTTGATCCGGAAGAAATCACAGTTGAGGGCTTGAGACCACTCTATGAGAACAAAATCCTTGCAATTGCGGTTATATATGTCGCAACAGAGATGATCTCTATCCTGACTGCAGGGATGGACCGGTTCCGGTTCGGGCCTGGTTCGGGCCTCAGTTCATGAAGGGGAGGCTCGGAACCGGCCTGGGTAACCCCCGGGTTTGGGCCAGACTGGGCCGGGCCTCAGTTCTATTTTTTTTGGCTTTTCCTAGTTAACCCCCAACCCTCCCCCTCACCCCCAAACCAACCCTAACCACCTCAAATGGCCCGAAATACCTAGCCCAACCCAAAAACTTAAAAAAATTTCAAAAAAAAAATGGCCCAGCCCTGGCCTGAACCGACCGGGCCGGTTCACCTTTTGAAGGGCCTGAGCCCAAACCGACATCCCACCGGGCCGGGTGGCCCGAACCGGCCAACCAACCGGTTCACTGTGCCGGTCCAGGCCCGCACAGTAGCGGGCTGGTCCGGGCCCGCACAGTAGCGGGCCGGTCCGATTCCGGACCGGTTGGCCCGGCCTGAGTCCACCCCTACCTGACTGTGCCCAGTACCCCTACACGGGTCTAGATTCGGAGGGTGAGGAACTACCAGGTATGCCTGGAGGAAGCGAGGGTTATATGTCACATGCGGTCGTATTAATTAGTTGGAGAATATATTGCTGAGAATGATGATCGTTTTAATCTCCCAGCAGGGGAGACCTATTGGTTGTACCAAACCAGTGTGGTAGAAGGCTATAACTATCCTCCAAGTCTGTTTAATAACCGCATAGGAATTCTGCATCCCAGAGTGGTCACGGAAGTATATTACGCAAGGACGTTTCCAGCAAATGCGTTATTGCCTGCGAGCAAATTTGCTGAAGCATGGCACGTGCAAAATTATGTCAGATGTAGAAAGAGGGAATATTTAGAGAGTACATTGTGGTGGTATTTGATCCCGATCCCGTGGTCGTACATCCTAAGGTAGAAGGGTCTCCTCCGGACGACATTACCTCGACATTGACTTCTCAGCATGCTGCGATTGCCCAGTTTGGTGTTGATGCCCTTGGTCGGGGGTTATGCTCCAAGCGTTTGTCAGTTCTGTTACGGGATTTTGTTACGCATCATTTCTTCACATTGAGCTCATCCCTTTTGTCTGCCTCCTCCGTCAGTTCCTCAGGTACGCCATATCCTATAACCAATTTTATAAAATGTGACAAGTTTTCTATTGGTCATCGTCTCTTTCTTGGAGCGTTACTTGCAGGACGTGAAACATGATTTTTAAAGAAACTAAGACTGATGCCGGTTTCCATGAGGCTATGCAGAGTCAAATTCGGGCCCTTGAAAATAATCACACTTGGGTCATGGAGCCACTTCCGCCAGGTAAGAAAACATTTGGGTGCAAATGAGTGTACAAAATTAAATACCATTCTGATGGCACCATTGAGCGCCTTAAGGCACGTCTTGTTGTCTTTGGTAATCATCAGCAAGAAGACAATGATTACACTGAGGCCTTTGCTCCAGTAGCCAGAATGGTTACAATACACATGTTTTTAGCTGTTGTTGCGGCCAAAAACTGGGAACTACATCAAATGAACATTCACAACGCTTTTCTTCATGGGGACTTGTAGGAGGAGGTTTATATGAAGCTTCCTCTAGGATATCTTGCTTCTCGACCGAGACAAGTGTGTGGGTTAAAGAAGCCTTTATACGGCTTACGTCAAGCTCCCCGATGTTGGTTCGCCAAGTTGGCCGCTTACTCTGACTACTCTCTGTTCACACTGTGTCAACGGACAGTTCATTTGTATTCTTATTTATGTGGATGACTTGATTATAGTAGGCAATGATTCGAGGGCTATCTCTCAATTTAAATCATATTTACATAAATGCTTTCATACGAAGGACCTTAGTGTGTTAAAGTATTTTCTTGGGATCATGGTGGACTGGGATCGAGGTGGACTGTCATTATGTACATGATGATATTCAGGCTGGCTTGCTAGTTGCACACCATGTTCCTACCACCGATCAACTCGCTGATATCTTCATGAAAGCTTTCGGCAAACGTCGGTTTCTTTACTTACTTCACAAGTTGGCATTTATGAACCACATACTCCAACTTGAGGGGGGGGGGGGGGGGGGGGGTGTTAGCCGATTATATGGACACGACTCATATTGTATTTAGCTATGCATTTTATTATGGGCTGAGGGCTTACTCTATGTATATTATTAACCCTGTTCCTTGCAATTATTTTGTATAAGTACTCCTTAAAGAAGAATGATGAATACACAATTTTGGCTTTTACCCTAATATTATTGTTTGTACACACCTACTGGCTACTCTGTTTAGCAGTCCGACAGCTTCTTTCGTGCACGATATCATTACAGCGCAGGAATTCCACAAAATCTTAATCTCGTCAAGCACAAATAGTGTTGTGTGAAAGTTCAAGGTTATGGCCATTGGCGTTTGGTGCGGATTTTTGGTGCCAGAAGTGAATGTTTGCCAGAACATATGATGAACAAGAAGTAGGGCGGGCAAGAAGATACAGTGCTGCCGGTTTGTCCCCTCTCTTTAAATTATTGGTTGTGAGCCCAAACTGTAAAAATGAGTCAATTTTGCGACTTTGACCTTGTGTACACACCAAAAAAATGTGTAATCAGCATTCACATTTCCACAAAGCTCTTCCTGATATGGAGGTAGTTCCGGAGGAAGACGGGCTCTTGCAATATGGGTGAATACCAACTCCACCACCGTCGGAATGACCGGCCTAGGCTTCACGATACAATCTCGATACAACCTCCCAGCCGCACCCCGTTCATCTGCAATGTTATCTCCTCTAACGTAGTAGCAACCCCAAACACTAAAAAACTTAAAATTAATATAATCTGCCGCTCCAACCCCTGATAGAGGCGGCGGAAAATCTCAACCCCTACAAAGAGGGGAGACGGCCGTTAGAGTTCTTCTCTAGAGAGGAGAGAGGCGTTCAAGAATGTTGATTACACATTTAGTGATTAAGAGTTATTATATATTACCCAAAATAAGGGACTAAATTATTGCTTAAATAAATTCCTAATTAGGAGTAGGTATATTTTTCTTCCCTAAATAGAATTTTTATTCCATATTTTCCCTTCCTATTATAAGTAATCGGCCCTACCTCTCTTGCATAACCAAGGCAGTTCGTTGGTGGGGTAGTTCGGCGATGGCCAGATCTGCAGTGCTAGAGGCCCTATCGGCAACGACAGCCTAATCTGCAGCAGCAATGGCCTAATCTTCGGCAATGGAATAAACTATAGACGACAGTTAGTGGTGGACTCGGGCCGTTTCGGGCCTGGGCCCGGCCGGTTCGCAGTTCTTTTTTGTTGGGCCCGAGCCCGAATCGGTAGCCACCGGTTCCGGGCCGGGCCACCCGGTTTGTAATTTTTTTTTGGCTTCTCCTATTTAACCCCCAACCCACCCCCTCACCCCCAAACCACCCCAAACCACCTCAAATGGCCCAAAATACCCAGCCCAACCCAAAAACTTAAAAACATTCACAAAAACAAACGACCCGAACCGGCCGGGCCGGTTCACCAAATGGAGGGCCCGAGCCCGGAACCGAAGCCCACCGGGCCGGGTCAACCCGAACTGCCCCTGGGCTGGGCCACCGGTTAGGTCCGGTTCAAACAGTGACCAATTGTAGCGACAGTCTGGCGTTCTACCGGAGACAATAAGGTTAGCCAAGCTTCACGGATACTTTTGTCCAACTAAAAATAATAACTCCTATTTGGAAAAATTATAAACTTAATTTCTACTTTAACCATTAAGGAGTTATTTGCTCATATTTTGGTGAATCTCCCTTCAATTAAATGTCATTTTCACCCAAAATATAGGTTAATTCCTTGTGTGCACTCCTATGCATATCATATTGGGAAAAAGTGCAAATAAGTCCTCGAACTAATAGAAAGAGTACAAAACTACAAATCACCCCTTTTATAAGAGGTTGTATCCAACCGTCGCTATTTGAGTATTTGGAGTGGTTCCCGGTGGATTTTTTTTGATGAATTTTTTAGGAACTTTTTCATGAAGTCTAGTTTACTCATACCAAATTTTGGCTAAAAACTCAACCGGAAAGGTAGTCAAATGATTTTCTAAAATATACTGCGCTGTCTAACTGCACAATTATCTTCAAACATTTATTTATTTGTTTCATAAGCAGTAAAAGCAGTTTTAATGTGACCGAACGGAAGTGCGGAGTAACTCATACATACTATGTAGCTACAAATACCATCAACTATACCTTATGAATTATGAAGGGGGGAAATGTGACAAACTATTGTTTTAGGAGTCCTTACTCTTAATTAACTAAAGAAATAAACAAAAACATACCGTTGTAATATAACCCCCTACCAATTTAGAGACAAAAGGCACTGGTGACAATTATATTAAGTACGCACTATGCGGACATTTCTGGGAATAAAGATGACAAAATTTAGCTAAGTAAAAAGTTTAGCAACATAAAAACACGAGGGGCAAGCCAAAATAAGAAGCATAAATAGAATTCTACTGCCTAGCACGGATGGGACTAAAGAGCTAATGGTGCGGACAGAAAGTGAGCAAATAGCTCGCCCCAGTGCAAGTAGCAATGCTGGTGGGATCATCATATGCATAAGAGTAAGCCTTAGGGCAAGCAGTCTTGAAGATCTTGGAGTAGGCTGTGGGCTTGCACGAGGTGGGGCTGCCATACATCCCGGTGCAGCAGTACCTCGGGGAGTTGAAGGCTGAGCAGGCGCTCTTGCAGGCCACAACTCGGTTGTCACTAGACTTCACCTGCAGCCCCACCGGGCATATTGTGTTCAGGTCACTCACACACCCTGCATAGCTACACTTGCCTGCACCAACCAAACACACCCATTACAATGCTTTAAGTTATAACATTTCTCGAGTTGGGATTAAGAAATTCCCACAAAAGGGCAATCATAATCCGCTAGGAAAAACCCAATATACTGAGTAGTCCTATAAGAGAATGTAATTAATGACTCACCTTTACTCTTTGGTAAAGTCAGTCCATCAATAATAGTGTCTCCGTTCAACATCACTCTTTATATGATTTTTTAGGAAAAGAAATTCTTGATACTTAATATCGCACATTTTAAATTGTCTAAGGTGCACGCGCACAGATTTCAATACCAGAAGCTAGCCATTTTGAAGTGTGCAGGATATCTTTAATTAGGCTTAAATTTTCTGATAAGGTAGATGTTTGTTCTATTAGTATGTACTACCTTCGTCCCATTTTATGTGTCTCCTTTGATTTTGGCACAATTTTTAATAAAGTGGTTGAAAAGGTAAAAGATGTGGTTGAGATCAGAGTACAGTAAAGTAAAATGTTGTGAACCGCATATTTCTTTCCAAAAAGGGAAATGTGACAATTATTTCGGGACAACCTAAAAATGAAAGTAAGACAGCTAAAATGGGACGAAGGGAATAATATGTTATAACTGACAAAATTTGATTTGATAAATGTGTGTTGTATATGTCATTTATAATTGTCAAAATCTGATCTCTTTAAATCTAATGAAACCTCATTTGTTGTTGGATTGAAACTAGTACTTCCTCCGTCCCAATTTGATGATCTTGTTTCTTTTGGACACAAAGATTAAGAAAGTGTGGTAGAAAGACTATATAAACTTACTTTATTGTACTATTCATTCTTTTACTTTTAATGTTCATTAAAAAGGAGGGTGTACCTGATAATCCACTTTTAATTCTCTACCAAAAAGAGAAACAAGACCATCATTTACAAAAATGAAATACAAGACCATCATTTTGGGAGGGAGTATATTAAAAATCTTAACAATTGACCAATTAAATGCAATGGTTACACATAAAAGTGTGTTTGAACACTTTTTATAGAAATTGGAACTAAGCTCTGCTTTCAGTTGTCATTATTACTCTTTCAACTTCACGGATTGTTCAAGGAAATAAAGCGAACGGCCCACCATATACTGTACGGAATGAGTATTACTGTTCCTCTAAGAACCCTGAAGAGTAAGCATCATTATACCCCTACTGCCGTACCCAGGAGAAATCAATAATCAGGACACGAGTTTGAATTTGGTTGGGGGGTATAGTGGACAGTTCATGCTCATCGAAACGTACGAGTAGTTGGAAGCGGAAATTGGAGAAGAGATGGAGAATCCTCACCAGTCCCACGGAAGGGGGTTATGGAGATGGCCAGATTGTACCCATCGACGAGGCTCACATCATAGAAATCTTGCTCATTTCCCAGCGTAATCTCAGCAAGGGTGGCCGGAGGGGTCCCACCAATGCCATTACAGCGGAGGGCGCCGCCGCAGTCCCCGGTGGCACAACGGCCTCTTCCGGAGGCGTCGAAGGAGCATCCATGGCGGCCCCACACACGGCCAGACCAACCGGGAGGGAGGTGGAGATGATAGACCTTGTTCGGCGGCAACTTGAAGCCTCCGCGGGCTAATGTCGGCCTACCGGCACTCGGCTGGATCCCCGGCCAAACCGGGTGGCTACACTTGTTGTACAACATCATCGTTGAAGCCGACGCCTCAACTGTGTCACAGAAACAAAAGCAGATAACAAAAACACATTACTTATGTTTCAGCGAAAGCAGCGTTTCGCTAACCGTACGGATTCAACTTGTTTTCAAGAAATAAAGTTGAAAGTGAGATACCTGAAAGAAAGAAAAAGATGGCGGAGAGAAAGAGGAAAGATCTCAACATTGCCGCCGTGGTTGAGCTTGGGCGAACAGGAAAGTATACTCCGTATTTTGTGACTCTCGGAAAACCAAATGCGGGTGGGGTTCGTATGTGAAGGAAAGGGTCAATTTTACCACGGATTCGGTCATTCGCTGATAGTAACTCTCTATCGAGGAACGGTCGAGATGAAATCTAAATTATAGATCTAAATGTGTTAACTCTTTATCAAGATTTAGAAAATATTTTAGAAATAATGACAAAAATAAGACTACAAATCTTACTCTAAACAAAATAGGACCTATTATTCATCAGGACAGAAAAGGGACTAATATCATTTGAATTGACGGAAATATCCTCATTGAAATAGACTATCAAACCTTAATATTTTCTTCTTCTCTTCCATTTTAGATCTGACATTGTACTTCTCGCTCATCTTATGGTCACCAGAACCGTTTATGCATCCCGTCAGCCAGCAACCATGTCATCTTGCCTCTCGACTGCCGTCATTGGCTTCAGTCACCGCCATCGTTCCATCGCTATCGTCAGCCCAAGCCATCATCATCATCGACTTCGGTGTCGATCTGCATCATCACCGTTGCTCTTGTTCTCCCTTCTTCTCGTTCAACTATGACACTGTACCCAAATGTACTTGAAATTTCAATTTAAAACTCAATTCATGTATTTGAGTTCCCTATTATTTAATCATGTGTAAAATGATTAAGTATTTAATTACTAAGTGATTAATTAAACTATTCATTTGGACCCATATTATAAGGACATACTATCAAATATTTAATTGGGTCATCTTACTAATTATGAGAGTCCAATATAATTTAAAAGAAGGTTTAGAAACCATTATGGCCGAATAAAAATGGTTACAACTCAAGTGTTGTTCTAGGCCCAATTTGTCAAAAATAATAAGAATATGAATCCCTGGACCGTTTTGGAGTTATTCCACACGTATTCTAGCCTCCAAATATATATTAGGAGGGTTGACATTACAGGTACATACGAACAAAGGGGTGATGAAACTCCTAAAGACAAAAACAAACCCTGGTCTCACTTTTCACATATTTGAGCTAAACATGTGGAGTAAGGTTTCTCTTCTATCATTGTGTACCATACAAATTATTGGGACCATCCAACACATATTAGAGACCAATAATAAGATGTAAAAGGTTGAGTTTGGTTCAAACAAGTAAAAAGATCACTTGAATAAGAATCCACAGAACTAGAGTGAGAAGTAGAAAACTTAGAAGAACAGTTAGAAACAGAACTGAAGGAACTAGCAGAAGAACTAGAACGAAAATAATTTCTAAATCTATTACAAACTTTTCCACAAAATTAAAGATTTTAGAAATCTTCTTCGTCTGCTCAGGTCTTGTATCCTTGCTTGAATTTTTCTTTGGAGCCCAGGTCATCCTTCCTACAGTGGATTTAGAAAAAAGCTTTTCCTGTATGTGGAGCAGAAGATAAGCTCCTTTTCTTTTCAAAATGATTTTTCTTTTTATGGTTCCCTTTAAATACTTAAACACTTTTCATTGTTTGCCAATGTTGAGTACTAGGATTACTAGTATACCAGTTCAACCTACCCACGACATAAGCAACATCCGACCTGATGCTTGTCATGGCATACATCAAACTACCAATGGCTTGAGAGTACTCAAGTTGTGATATCGCTTTCCTTTATTAGGCATCAACTTCACACTAGGATCCATGAGAGTACTGATATGCACTAGTTTATAGTGCATAAATGTATGTTTTTGTATTGACTTTGTGTGGATTTTCTTTCATCTTTAGTTAGTTTGTAAACATTTGTTTTATGATGTTTGTAATTGTTTTTTGCTTTCATTTATAGTTGTAGAATAGTAGTAGTGTTTTTAGCAAGGAAAAGGAGAAAAGCTGGAGATAAAAATGGCCAGGAGCGCAAACCCGGTCGGGTCATGCACTACACCCGGTCGGGTCTGAGTTGAGAACCAGATCCCTGAGAAAATAGCTAGACCCGGTCGGGTCCCCTACTTGACCCGGTTGGGTCAGATGTGACCCGGAACACCAGAACGTGCCAAGGATCGCCCGAATAAAGAATATCTGATTTTTGAGTCAAACCCGGTCGGGTCCCCTACTTGACCCGGTCGGATCTGACTTGACCCGGGACATTTTAACGTGCTGAAACACAAAAACGTGGGAGATAATCTGATTTTGACCGGTACCCGGTCGGGTAAGCACTAAACCCGGTCGGGTACCCGGCCAAAGGTGTTGAAAAACACCTATAAATAGCACACTTTTTCTTCACAAAAAATAATCCCTTCTTCTATACTCTTAAGCTTAGTTTAGAATAGCATTTCTTTATATTTTTCTAGCTATGTTTAGTCTCCAAATGAGGAGCTAAACTTCCATTCTTGGTTTTGCTCTTGAAGCTTGTTGATTATTAAAGTTGTGAGTTATTTTCTTAACTTCTTCTCTTGATTATTAATTCTTCCCTTAATCTCATTCTATATTAATGTTGGAGGGTTGCTAAGTGACGATTAGTTAACGTTCCGACATTAATTACTACTAGAAACGATCAACGAACCGATGGTTAATTGTTGGTGGTTTCATAAGTAAGTAACTTCGGTTTATTAATGCACGGTCGTGATTAATAAACTTAAGAGGGATAAATTTTGTTGGTTAAACCGAGACCGTTGTGTTGAGGTTATCAATCTCAATTGATTTCATCAAGGAGTTAAAAGATCGAATGCTACTATTATATCGGTATACGGCGTTGTTCTATATTTGATTAATAGTAAGGGTTGTTAATGAACGGTCGTTGTTAATAACTACCCTCGATGAATTGAAGATACTCCTCGATTGAGTATTCGAGAGGGGATAAGTTATAGATATAACAAGGATCGACTAAAATATATCAACAAGTGGAAAGTAGCAAAGCCAAGTCCCTTTTATTCTTGAATTAAACACATATAGGTTGTTCATCTTAGTTTCTTAATTGAATTAAATCACTCAAAACCAAAACCCCCCTTTTTAATTACTAGTTTCATAAAAAGAGAATCATTCCTTTCCATGTGGATACGAACTCTACTACGTTATACTACGTATAAGTGTTTAGTATTGAAGTACTAACGGGTGAACAATCACTATACTTAGTTTTGAGAATATTCTCAACATAGTTAGCTTGTGTCAAAGAAATACCTTTGTTTACCCGTTTAATCCTTATTCCAAGGATCACATCCGCCACCCCCATGTCCTTCATGGAAAACCTTGGTGATAACAACCTTTTAATTTCATCAACCTAATTTTGGTACGTTCCAAAAATCAGCATGTCATCTACATAGAGACATATGAACACACCTACCCCTAAGGCATCAAATCAGCTATACACACATTTGTCCGATTGGTTTAAACTAAAACCATTGGACAAAATAACTTCATTAAACTTTTGATGCCATTGTTTGGGTGCTTGTTTCAGCCCATACAATGACTTAACAAGTTTACATACCTTATGCTCATTCCCCGACATAACAAAACCTTCCGGTTGTTTCATGTAAACTTCCTCATCAAGACTGCCATTAAGAAATACCATCTCAACGTCCATTTGATGTATAATCAGATTGTGTATGGCCGCCAAAGCAATTAACAACCTAATGGTTGTAATTCGAGCAACCAGTGCATACGTGCAAAAATAGTCAATTCTGAGTTTAACCGAGCCTTGAACTTGTTAATCCTTCCATCCACCTTCATCTTCTTTTTGAAAATCCATTTACAACCTAAGGGTTTAAAACCCGACGGCAAATCCGACAACACCCAAGTGTTGTTCTTCATAATTGATGACATTTCATCATTAATTGCCTCCTTCCAAATGGCAACATCTCGGGACTCTATTGCGTCTTTAAAGGTCTTTGGATCATCCTCAACTTGGTAACAATATCAATATTGTACCCCCACTTTGTTCCTTGAACCTTCCACTAAATACAAGTGAAAATCGAGACCAAAGTCTTTCACAATGCATCCTCTTTTGCTTTTTCTAAATTGTGGTGTCTCCAAATCGGAAAGACCATCCAAACATATTGGACCTTGCACCCTACTAGTGCTTGGAAGTAAATCTTTTGGTCTTTTAATTGATGAAAATCTCATTTCATCAAAAATTGCATCCTGAGACTCAATCACGGTGTTAACCGCCACCACATCGTTAGGTTCTATTACATAAAACATATAAGCCTTGGAATTTTCAGCATATCCTATGAATATGAAATCAATTCCCCTTCTCTCAAAGTTTTCCTTTTGGGCTCGGGCAATTTTACAATTGCCTGACAACCCCAAACCCGAAAATATTTCAAATTTGGCGCTTTCTTGTACCAAAGCTAATATGGGGTTGTCTTGTTTCATTTGTTTGGAACCCTATTCAATATATAACAGGCCGTGAGGATGGCCTCCTCCAAAACCCTTCACTCAAACCCAAGTTGGAAAGCATGGAGTTAACTGTTTCCTTTAAAACTCAGTTTTTCCATTCAGTCACATCATTTTGTTGTGGTGTATACGGAGCCGTGGTCTCATGAAAGATTCCAACAGATTGAAAATAATGGGGATCCATATATTCTCCTTCCCGATCAGTCCTAAGACATTTAATTGGATTACCCAATTGCAATTCAACCTTGGTTTTATACACTTTAAATTTCTCTAAAGCTTCATCCTTAGTGTGTAATAAATACACATAACAAAACCGAGTTGAATCATCAATAAAAGTAATAATATACTTCTTATTGCCAAGGGAAAGATTTGAGTGAAAATAACATATATAGCTAATATTATGAAACAATTGTTTTGTGATCTTAGTAAGCATGCAAGTCCTACATTTATCATTATTAATATCAAAAGCAGGAATTAAACCATCTTTTGACATTTCATGCATTTTTCTAAAATTAACGTGAGCCAGTCTAGCATACCAAATCATACAATCATTCATGAAAGATGCCACAAAATAGAATTGTCACTTGAAATTAATTTATTCACAACATTCAAACGAAACATGCAATTTGATAAATATCCAAAACCAACAAACACACCATGCTTGGACAAAATATATTTATCGGATTCAAACACTTGTTTGAACACTAACTTCTTCAACATACTTCCCGTAACAAGATTCTTTCGAACCTTCGGC